CATATCATTGTTCTGTGGTGTTGTCACAGTTTTTGGATCCTTGGGATCTTGGAACATCCTTTGCAGTCTAGCTGATTAGGACATTGCTAAGTGTGAGGCTCTGGGTGCTTCACACACCAGAAAGAGTACTTTTCTTAGTTTGGTTTCCTTCCTGTGACATCCATCCCCCACCCCCATCATTTCTTGAAGTCTTGTTCTACTCCCACATGTCTGTATAGTATGTAAATATTTTTCTTAAACTTTCTTACAGCTGTACCCAAGAATTAAACCAAGACAAAGGAGCTTGGCCTGAAACTTTACAGAATTGTAGTTAATGAAGAATTAATCTCTGTTATGTCTAAGAAGAAGTAATACGATTGTTTTTGGGAGACATTTTGCAAGGCTTACTTTAATGACAATGTAACTTGAAAACAATGAAGAATGTCTCCAGAAGAAAATGAAGGACTGAAGAATTTACTGTTAGAGGACATTCAACACGATGAAATGGAGCTTATATGTAAGCAGACCATCCCGTGTTGGGGCGCAGGTGTTCAGGTAGCACTAAGCAAGTACACCATGACAATCCTGTAATCTGCAAGGAAGAGGACCGTTAACTGGGCTGTTTGGACATCAGTTTTCTGTCCTGCTTAGTGGGCATTTTCAGCACCTTCTCCTATGCCAGTCTTCCTACCGGAAAGGACCAGTGCCATCATGGTGCCATTGCTGATTGTCCCAACACCAGCAGGCTCTTGGGAGGCTTGTGTGAAGGCTTGAAGGTGCCACTCACTTGTACATTGTTGGTGAAGAACTGTTAGTTGGTTGTCAGTGAACAATAACTTTATTATATGAGTTCTTGTAGCATCTTGAGAATTATACATAAATTTGAAATATTGAAACTAAGCTACACTACCGATAATTAGATTTAAAATCTTGTTTTTAGACTGAATTTGGATCTATATTTATTGTCTTTTGTATCTCAGAAATTAGAGACTGGCTGTAGACTTAGCCATAAGATTTGTCAAGATCATAGCTGGCTTTAAAAACAATTGTAATAAAATTAAACTTTTTGACTCCAGGCTGTTGACTGGTTTTCGTTTTTGATGTCATAGACAGACCTTGTTTAATGGTTACAAGCCATTGGGATTTCTTACCAAGCTAAAAAATAATAAGCTGCTTAATGCAAATATATGTACTGTAATAGGACTTCTTTACCTGCCAAGTGATTAAATGTAGGAAATGTTTCTTTGCTTACAGAAAACTCCATATTTTGCAATTCATGAGTTTGGGTGGTTTTTTAAATATAGAATTCTTTTTTTTTTTTTTTGAGTTGGAGTCTCACTCTGTCGCCCAGACTGGAGTGCAGCGGCCACTCCCGGCCACCGCAGCCTCAATCTGCTGGGCTCCGGCTATCCTTCCGCCTCAGCCTTCCAAGTAGCTGGAATTACAGGCATGCGCTACCACACCCGGCTGATTTTTTGATTTATTGTAGAGATGAGGTCTCGCTGCCCAGGCGGGTCTCGAACCGAGCCCAGCTAGAATTCATTTTTTAAAAAGATCTTAGCGATCATGGCGATAGACGCCTACTTGTACCTTTTGCTTTGAGCCTCTGATACTGTTTTATGTTCTCATTTTATTTCAAGTTCTTCATAGAGTTGTATACATTGATCTACATGCTGAAAGCTGTATGTATACAAAGTTTCCACATTGTTTTATTAGTGTGTTACCGAGTTTGTGAACTATTTTGTTTAATAGAACAATAGGAATGGAAAACTAATAGTCATTTTTCCTTACACGTTATATGAGTAGTTAAATTTTAATGAGGAAGGTAGGTGAAAGAATGTCCCATACCTTTTGGAGTAATGGGCAAGGAGTGACAGCATGAACTAAATATCAAAAGATGTGGTTGACAGAATTCTAAAGATGCTCCCTCTAACCCTGTCCCTGGTTATTCAATGCAAAACTAATCTAGGCACTGTAAGTCCTCACTTAATGTCATGAGTAGGTTCTTGAAAATTGCATCTTTAAGAGAAAAGATGTATAATAAAGCCTATTTTTAAAATCAGTGTTATCATGAAACAGCATTGAATTAAACTATGTCATTTGAGGACCTGCTTTTTTTTGCTGGTTTTGTTATACATCGTTTTCCCCAAATTTGCAGTTTCTAAGAACCTATCCACAATGTTAAATTTTGACGACTTACTGTATTGTTCAGAGGGAATTTTCAAATTTAATTAAGCTTACTAATCACTTGGCCTTAAAATAGGGTGATTAGCCTGGATTGTCCAGGTGGGCCCAGTGTCGTCACAAGAGCCCTTCAAGCAAAAGAGGGGGCCGGCAAGACTTGGGGTGTGAAAAGAACTCAACCTGTCATTGCTGTCTTTGAAGATGAAGGAGACACAAGCCAGGGAATGTGGAGGCTGAGAAAGACCCCTGGCTGACAGCTAGGAAATGGGACTTCGGTTGAATAGCCACAGGGAACTGAGCTCTGCCAACCTGAGTGGGTCTGGGTGGGAATGAACCTTTCCCAGGTCTCTAGAAGGAATGCACTGGCCCAGTGAGACGTTGGACTTCCAGTCTACTGAGCTGTGAGATAATGGCTTCATGGCAATCTTTTAAGCCAAATAAATTTATGTTAATATGTTATAGGGCTGGAATCCATGTACAGAAACAGATTCAACATAGATTCTAGCCTTGAGCTGTTGGACTTATTAATCCATCATGTGACCGTGCCCAGGACCCGTGACCTCCCTGTGCCTGTTTTCCTCATCTGTGGAGTTCAACACCCATTGCCGCTGCATGCTTCCAAGTTGTGGAGAAAAATCATACCAAGTACTGGACATGAAGGCACTTGGTAAACTAAGTAATTTCACAGATGTATGAAAGGGAAGATGTGAAAAGTAGGGAACTGTGATCTTAGTTTTACATTTCTTAATCCTTAATTTGAACACCATTTGTTTTTTTCTTTTTTTTTTTTTTTTACTTGTTTTATTATCAAAGTATCTTTATATCGAAGCTCCTAATAGAAATATTTAAGAGAACAGAAAATTGTTATAAAGGAGGGAGGGAAAAAGACCACTCCAGAGGCACTATTCCCACTTGGGCATATTTCTTTGTAGTTTCATCTGTGCTTTTTTTCTCTTTGCATAGTTGAAAGCATACTGTTTAAGCAATTCTGTATTCTGTTTTATGCTTGACATTATATCATAAATATTAACATGATTTTTAACAGCTTCATAATAGTCATGTAGTTTAAAATCCAACCATTTGTCTGATGTTGAACATATGGCTGTTTTCAGTTCTTGTGTATAATAATTGGTACTGTGGTCATGTTTTCAATGGTAGAACTTTCAGATTTTTACAAAATAAAGAGGAATAAACCAGGTGGAGAATGGACTGTGCTAAAGGGGGTAGTGTGTACACTTTGTGCTGATTCCAAAGGCAGTGAAGGTTTGAGGGGAGATGGGTGTGTCACATGAGAGGAGTAAGAGCAAGAGAAGCGGATCAGAAGGAAACCAGGGATGTGTGGATTCTCAGAAGAGAAGGAATATGAAAGTGTTCAAGGCAGCAGGAAGATGATGGCTGGTAGATGCTTACAAGATTTGGCGTTCAGTGTAACTGATGACCATAAAAAGCACCAGCAGGGTGGTAGGTGACTAGCCAGAATGTAGTAGGTGAAGGAATCCGTGGTAAAGGAAGAATTAGAGAAGCTAATTGACAGAGGGCCTGAGATTATAATTCAAAGCAGAGATCAGGAGGGAAGGAGTGAGGATTTAGGTGAGAGAGAGTTTGTACAGGGTCAGAAAGTTAAGGTCTCCTTTGCTTATCATTTGTTTTTCCCTGTAAAACACAAATTGACAGATGTTATGTGAAAATTCAAGATGCTTGGTAACCTCTCTCCCCTTTCTCGTTCTTTTCTAAATTTGCTATGATAAGCATATTTCTTATTTCTCTCTTTTTTTTGAGTTGAAGTCTCCCTCTGTGACCCAGACTGGAGTGCGGTGGCACTCCTGGCCACTGCAGCCTCGACCTGCTGGTCTCCAGCCATCCTTCCAAGTAGCTAGAAGTACAGACGCGTGCTACCACACCCGGCTAATTTTTTTTATTTATTGTAGAGATGAGGTCTCACCAAGTTGCCCAGGCGGGTCTCGAACCCGCGGGCTCAGGCAATTTCACTTACCTCGGCCTCCCGAAGCGTGGGATTACAGGCTGAGCCACCAAGCCCAGCCCTTATTTCTCTTTTTAACATTATGTTGTAAACTAAGCCAGCTCTCCAGGTGAAAGTGCCACAGGAGTGGTGTGGCGCCCAGCATGGAAGTCGAGGTTTGGAATGGCCTCTGTGAATGGAGGAGGCCTTCTTTCTGCCCCTGTCTTTGCCTCTGAAGACCCCTCCCTTCCCTCAGAATGGAAAGCAGATCTCTCCTGCCTTCACTTCTACCCACTTCCAGCCTGGACCCAGTGATCCCATGTTTAACCACTTTGGTCACCACCCTGCACTTCCTCATCTCTGGTCTCTTCAGCCAGTGTTCCCTTGCCCATCTCCAATCCTGAGTCAGTCCAGACATCCACTGCCTCTATCCTGAAACCTGTGCAGCTGGATGGAAAAATCACATAGCCCCAAGAATTGGATTACTGCATGGTCATGGTCTCTAGCCTCCTCTGGGTCCTCAAAGTCTTGGCAAGGAGGAAGAACTCCAACTCACTTGAGCTGTGTTTGGGAAATCCGTCATGTTTTCAGGAAATATTAGGATGGCGTTTGCCTACCGCAAGTTATCTTACCTCTTTCCCACTTTTTAACAACCTCAAGGTTGACCCGCAGCAGACCAGTGACTTAATCTGCATGTTTTCTGAGCTCCCTCGCGTGTTCCCTACCCCAGTGGGAGCCGGACAAGGTGGAACTGAGCTGGCAAAGCAAGCAGCTTCCTGAGAAGCACGTAAGTCCCGCTGCCTCCTTCAAAGAGGCCAACAAGCAGTAGAAATGAGAGCTGCCCTTATGTTGAATTATCAGAGTTTCTGAGTTGGAGTTTTAAAAAAATTTATATTTCTACATTTTAATTATAGGTCAGATGCCTTTTCCCCTGAATATGTGAATTTAGAGAGGTGTAGCATACCTTGTTAAAATAGAAACAATCGTGTATGCTCAAAAACTGGCCTGCTGGGGCCACCCTCCTGGAAGGAAAACATGGCGTGGTGTCATTGCATGGGGTAACTCTTTATTTAACAGTACATTTGGAAGAAGATAAGGCAACAAGGCAATGCTTTATAATATTGCTAGCATTTTCCCAAGGTAAAGCCAGGACACAAGCTCGTGTCCCCAAGAGCTCCTAAGTAATGTCCCTTTAACTCCAGGGACAAACACTAGCGGTTCATAAAGTTTTGAGGTGGTGAACAGCTTGTTTTGTCCTTTATTGTGATTGGCTTGCAAATTGAACACCTGGTTTTGGTGTGCTGCCTCAGTTGATCAGGAGTAGAAGCCCTCCAGTATTTATAAGACTAAATGCATAAGGCCAAATATGGTCAAGGACTTGAGTTTAAGAACAACTTTTTCTGTTCGCAGTCAATACTACATAAAACCTGTCTCTTTGACCAAGTGACAGAGGTGTGCTTCCTCACCTGGACTCTTCAGGTCCCTTGACATTACATCACGATGCATCATATTTTCTAGTTCGCTCATGGGAAATGGTGACCCCTGGGCTGCTGTTTGGTAGATACGCTGGCTGCCTTTTTAAACTTCAAGTTATTTTGCATATTCCCAGCAAGGGCCTTGTGTCCTTTGAGATTGACTGAATGTTTGCTCGGTTGTTTAAACACCCCCTGCATATTTTTCTTGATTTAATATTGCTATAAACAGGAGTGTGTGGAAAAGTAGAAAGAGTATGCTATTTACAGATTTTAAAGCTTTCTTTGAGCTTATCAAGGGTTAAGCGACTCACTTGCATTTAGTATAATGATATGCAAATCTTTTACTTTGATATGTGAACAATTCTGCTGTCTCAAATAGACAGTATCATTATTTTCTGCTATGATCATGAGGTGAAGTAAATGTTCCCGAAATTTCAAGGCCCCCAGATCCAAAGTGTTTCTCTGTGGAAGCTTAGTCTTTGGCTGATTTTCTGTCATGAGAAGTCTTCAAGCAGATTAGTTACAACTTCAAAGTACTGAGAAACAGAGCCACTGTGAAGAAGAAAAAAAAAGACAGATCGGTGACCATTTTAAAATTAAAGGCCATGTTGTAAGTACTTGACTGTTGTACCAGAAAAGCTGATCAAAGGCTAAGATATCAATGCACTAACTTACTTTTTTTTCCCACCTTCTTTCTATAGTCTGGTTTTTACAGAAGGTTAGTACAGTAGTCTATGGTATTTGAATCAGGTGGTCATACATTGTATTACAGAATTGATTGCATACATGAAAAGTGGAATTCAAACAACATACAAATTGTCATTTTCACATCTCTGCTTTAGATGATCACATCAGAAGTTAGTTTGGGATGTGGGTAGCCCTGAAAACAGTGGCTTTCTGCCATGGCTCTAAATTGGAGTGACAGGAGAATTTTAAATCACATTGATCTGGGATACAGCCTCGACATTGGGGCTTTCACAAAGCTCTCCACATGGTGGAACCTGCATCCAAGGTTGAAAATCACTGCCGACTCCAGGGGAGATCTGGATATTGCTCATTCCCAGCCAAGACTACGAGAGGTGAGGAGTGGAGAGGGTGAGATGGGTGAGATGTTTCTAGGGGAGATGGAGAGGGAGAGGGCTGAGAAGGCAGGCCAGGCAGACCCTGGGGATGGGGAGGGGCAAGAACTAGGCTGGAACAGGATATCCAGCAAGAGTGGTAAAGGGGCTCGAGTAAAGAGAACTTGACACAGGGCATGTTTTATGTCATAACTGTGTGGACTGTAACTTTAGATTGCAATCTTGGGGCCAGGGATATTTCCTAGGAAACTTTGAGTTTTAAGTAAGCTAGTGTTATTTGTAACCAGATAAACTATATTTTCTGCTGCTAAAGGTACTTTATAATGCCTAATAGCGGAGTGAGACAGTTATGAAGCTGCTGGCTTCCTCCAGGGTTCAAAATTTCAGGCAAAGAGCTGCCAGTCCCTGAGACCTGTCCTCCTCATCAGGTAGCTCCTCCATTACCTGGATAGGATCAATAACTTTGCCATTCCCACCCAACTCTGGCCATCTCACCCAGTCCTCTGTGGCCCTCCCTGAGGACAGAGGAAATGCAGACTGCAGCCAAGTGATGATGGAAGTCACCCCACCTGGCTGCTTTTGTTCAGTGAGAGAACTTTCTGTCACTGGGATGACAAAAGAACATTTTATCCTTTGCCTTTTACGAAACTGACATACCAACTTAACTCAGATTGATGATCATTTCAGAGGTGGGCCTTGCTGGGGCTCCAGACATATGGGTGCAGTAATTATAAATGGAACACTTATTTACCATTGGTATTTTATTTTATTTTATTTTTTTGAGTTGGAGTCTCACTCCTGTCGCCCAGACTGGAGTGCAGTGGCCGCTCCCGGCCACCGCAGCCTCGACCTGCTGGACTCTGGCGATCCTTCCGCCTCAGCCTTCTAAGTAGCCGGAATTACAGGCATGCGCTACCACGCCCGGCTGATTTTTTGCTTTATGG